AGGAATCCTTACTGGGTGCTAAATATCATGAGAATCTTAAAATCTCATTTATACCAAAAAATTAGAATTCCTTCCAAGCTAGTATATTTCTAATTCAGATGATAATGAAGAAGGAGGAGGAGAAATTATTGGTACCAAATTATATTTATATAATAAATAGATAAAAGTTTGTTTTAGGCTTCCCCAGGTTCACAATATCATCCTTCTTCAGCCAGCAAACAATCAAGAGCAGAAGGGAGCACCATGAGCACCGTCCAAGCCTTTTACCCCTCCACTAAGGTGCTGCTGGAGCAGGGCTCCCGGTGGTAAGTAGTCACGTCCCCATTTCCACAGCTCTGTGCTGCGTCACTGACATCAAGAGGCTTGGTACAGATCTCACACTGGACCCGCGCCTCATCAAAAGATGCTGCCCTGGATAAGGATGGGTCTTAGCCAGGAAGTCTCTACAAGAGAAAGGGTGATGTTTAAAATAACTACTGGAACAGTGTGAGCACCAGCCAATAGAATAGATGGTCTGAGGCATCAGAATGGACACTGTAGCCAATCAGAATGAATTCTGTAACAAATCAGAATGGATGCCATGACCAATCAGAATGACACTGTGACCAATCAGAAATGCTACTATGACCAATCAAAATAGATGCCATGAATCTAATCTGAATCAAAATGGACACCTTGGCCAATAAAAAAATAGACACGATGACCAATCAGAATGACGTCTGCAACCAGTTGGAAACAGCATTGGGTGGACCATCACTGTAACAGCTGGTGTGGTGGTGCCAGTGTGTACAGCTGAATGTTAGTCATGACTGCAGCAAGATGACTATGCCCTGCTGGCTGATGCTGGCTATACTGAGATAGGGTCAGCCTAGCTAAAGTCCTCCCAGTCCCACCTCATCCCATTCAAATTCCCCCAACAGGAAGAGGCATGGAAATTGTTCTTGTGATGCGTCTATGGGCAGGCAAAGAAGGGCTTGGGAAGCCTGGGAGCTCTGGTTGACTCACTAGCCTTGTGACTCTGGGCACATTTTTTAACCTTTCTGTGCCACCATTTCTTCATCTATAAAATGGAGTTAATACTAGTATGCACTTAGTAGGCTAGCATAAGAAAAGCACCTAGAACAGTGCATGGCACATATAGATGCTAAATAAATGAATAAATGGTAGCTTAATTCAAAGTAATCACTGTTGTTGTTTATCAAAGCCTGGTAGTTACCTAGACAGACTCAGAGGAAATCGAGGACCCTCAGCTCACCTTGACTGCCCCAGTGTTGCAGACTCACCTCCATCAAGCTCCACCTGAATCCACAGAGGCTCCCCAAAGACAGCCCGGCAGAGAGGGCTGGCTCCTGATCTGAATCGGCCGGCACACCCAGTGACACTGAGCTTCTCCATCTTATCTCGCACTGTTACTTGCTTCTGAGCTGTCACATGCCACTCGCTGGTTGTGCACTCCGCAAACACAGTGAATTCCCCAGGAGATGTAAACTGGTGGATCACGGTGCTGGACAAACTGCCGCCACAGTCAGAAATGTTATTAGCATTGGGGATGCGTGGGCGCGCGCGCGCGCGCGCACACACACACACACACACACACACACACACACTCACACCTGACTCACATCTCCAGGCTCTGCAAAGAGAAAAGATGAAGGGCAATGCCCAGCTCTCAGTGTTACCCTGAGACCTCCAGGAACAGGGAACAGTGGTAGAAACGGCACTCGTCAAGGAGGCGAGTCTCAGGTGCAAGTCCCTTTCCTGTCATTTCTTCCCCTCTCTGCCTCATCTTCCTTCTTGTTTCATCTGTGAAATACAGTGCTCCAGACTACCTCTCTCAGCCTTATTTTCCCCATTTGTAAAATAGAATCAGATTCTAAACATACCAGAGTTGCAGTCATGTTTAGCTTCTTATTTTCAAGGTGCTAATTAAAAAATTCTCCCATGGCCCACAAAGATCCACAGACCTCTCCTTCCTCACTGCAACCCTCATCTCCTGCCTCTTTCCCCTTGTCTAACTATTCTGGTCACCCAGACCACTGTCCATTTTCTGGACCACGCCCCCTTTCTGCTTCAAGACTGCCAAGTGTGTGGTTCCTCACTGGGAAGTCTCTTGTCCCCTCTCCTTGTTTGTTCTCAGATGGCTCCTTGGGTCCTCCACTTAAACCTCACTTCCTAAGGGAAGCCTCCTTAAACCAAGGACTAAGACTCCTTTTATGGTCACTTTAGCTTCTTTGCTTCTCCTGGGGGCACACATGTCTTTTGTGCTTGCTGGCTCTGTGTTATCCTCTGCCAGTGGGCTCAGTGAGGACAGTTCCAGGATCTGCCACGCCCCCCATCAGATAACAGAATCCACAGAGGCTCAAGTCTCTTTATAAAATGGCACAGCATTTGCCTATATCCTATATACGCCATCCTGTGTACTTTAAAGCATCTCCAGATCACTTAAAATATTAATATAATGTAAATATTATATAGTTATTGTACTTTAATTTTGTTTTATAAATATGTTTATATTTTATTTTTTAAATTTTTATTAAAAATTAAATTTACTTTAATTTTGTTTTATAAATATGTTTTATATTTTATTTTTTAAATTTTTATTAGGTTTTTTTCCCAAATATTTTCTATCTGGTTGGTTGAATCTGCAGATACAGATCCATGAATCTGGTGGGCTAACTGGACCTGGGGCCTCCACATACTATCTAGAACATGGTTAGTGCTCAAGAAATATGCAGCAAGTGAACATATTTGTGAAAAAGCTTAGAAAGGTAATCCCTTTCCCAGGGTTGGTCAAGATGGGAGTAAGCCCATTACAGCCTGTCTCTTGCACTGATTTAAACTACAAGGCTTGGCAGAAGACAAAAACTACCCAAGGACTTTTAAAAAGTAAAACAACAGTGAGCAGATTGGGAAGAAAGTCAAAATGTGAAGAATGACCCATAAAGATGGTATAAAGATGGTAGTTTCCTGTTTTGTTTTGCTTTTTTTTTTTTTTTCCTCTCTTGGCTTTGATCCAAGGGTAGCCTAAATCATGAAATGTATAGGGGATGAAGAAAGAGCAAAAACCCCAGGAGAAACCCCTTCTCAGTTTAGGAAGGGGACCAGGACCATGTAAGTCCGAGAATATAGGGGAAGTCTCCAGTTTTGCTTTGTTTTGTTTCTTGTTTGCCTCTCTTAGATTGACCCAAGACTGTCCCCTCTCTAGGAGCTGCATTAACAGCATAGGGTAATGCAAACATCTAAATCATCAATAGAAAGCCCATCTTTCATGGGGTCGGGGATCTCATGAAAATCAAAGGGAAATCAGTAGACAAAAGGGACCAACAACAGGTGGGAGGTGGGGAGGGAGAGGGAAAGTGCTGGGGAGTGATAGTGGCCAAATTATATTGTTACATTGTGTGCATCTACTAATATATAACAACAAATCCCATCATCATCTACAACTATAAATGCACCAATTTAAAAAATGTGGGAAGCCAGGCATAGTGGCACATGCCTATAATCACAGTGGTTTGGGAGGATAAGACAAGAGGATTGCAAGTTCAAAGCCAGGCGAGGTGCTGAGCAACTCACTGAGACTCTGTCTCTAAATAAAAACAAAATAGGGCTGGGGATATGGCTCAGTGGTCAAGTGCACCCAAGTTCAATGCCCAGTACCGAAAAAAAAGAAAAAAAGCCCATCTTTCTGCCCAGAGGAAATACAAATGTAGTAGAGAGATCCAGAGAGAATTCCCTAACTCTGTGATTGAACTAGCAAAAAACACAAGCTCACCTCCAAACTGCACATGTGCAGAAACAGACCCCAAAGAAATAGCACAGGCTTTGTGAACTAAACTACAACAAAACCATGACCCTGGGAGTTGCATGCACAGGACAGACTCAAACATCCCTGAAAACTGGACTGACATTGAAACTATTTCAGAGCAGGCAACTCAGACATGTGCTGGGACCTATCTGGGTCAGTTGCCTGTTAAAACAAATAAATGTTAAAAATAAACTTCCGGAAGATTTCAGCAAGACCCAGAATTTCAGAACATATTACTCAAAACATTCAGAATGCAATCCAAAATTACTTGATACATGAAAAACCAAGAAAAATGTGACCAAACTTCAGGGGAAAATGAAATCAAAAGTCAGTCTTGAGATGTTGGAATTACCAGACGAGGACTTTAAGTCATGTTATAAGTGTGCTCTGTGAGGTAAAAGTAAACCATCCTGAAATGAGTGGAAAGGCATGCATTTTCAGCAGAGAAACAGAAAATACAAAAAAGAACCAGATGGAAATTTTAGAACTGAAAATATACAATATATGAAATAAGAAATTCACCTGATGAGTTCAATAGCAGAATAGAGATGAAAGAGAGAAATGTCAGTGAACTTGAAGATAGACCAAGAGAAGTCCAATCTGAAGAACAGAGAGAAAACATTAAATGAACAGAGTGGGATAGGTATGGTGGTACATGACTGTAACCCCAGCAACTCAGGAGGCTGAGGGAGGATAGCATGTTTGAGGCCAGCAGAGGCAACTTAGCGAGATCCTGTCTTAAAATTTAAAAATATCTGGGAATGTGGCTCAGTGGTAGAGCACACCTGGGTTAAATACACAGTACCCAAAAACAGAGTGTTGGCAACCTATGCAACAATATCAAAAGATCTAACCTGTGTGTTATTGGAGCCCGAGAGAGAGGAAATAAGATTCATGTAGAAAAATATATTTGAAGAAATAATGTGGAAACCTCTCAAACATGACAAAAGACATATTTACAGATTTAAGAGGCTCAATGAACCCCAAACAGAGAAATAAAATAAGCCACACCCATATCTATAATAATCAAACTGCTGAAGTTGAGATAAGGGGAAATGTCTTGAAAGTAGCCAGAAAAAAAAAAAGATGATATGTTACATACTAAAAAAAAAAAAAAAAAAAAAAAAAGTTTTGAATGACCCTAGATTTCTCAATACAAACTGTGGATGTCAGAAGACACTGAAACATGTCTAATCAGCTGAAAAGGATAGAGTTGTTGACACAGATCTCTAGATCCAGAAAAAATATCTTCTAGGAATTAAGGCAAAATAAAGACATTCTCAGGCACACTAAGAGAACTTGTTGCTAGCTAGTGTCCTCTGAAAGAAATGCTACTGGAAGCTCTTCCCAGCTGAAGGAGATAACAGAAGGACATGTGGAACTTCAGGAATGAAGGAAGAGCACAAGATATGGTAATATGTGGTTGGATGTATGGACTGTTTTTCCCATCTTAAATTCTTTCAGATGGCTGTTGAAGCGAGTTTTCAGTGTACCTGGATGTCATATCCATGACAAGTACAGCATGCAGGAGTGTGGGTCCTATGGGATAAAGAGGGAGCCTGGTAAGGCTTTAACACTTTACCTAATGGCATAAAATGTTAACTCTATGTAGATCATGAAAGATTCGGTATGTATATTGTAAACCTTGCATTAACCACTGAGAGAGTAATGCAAAGAAATATAGCCAAAAGTTAAAGTTAAAATGGAATGCCAAAATCATTCAAATCATCCAAAAGAAGACAGGAAAGGGGAGCAGAAGAAATAAAAACAGGGGGCAAACAGAAAACAAATTTTAAAATGATGGACCTCAATCTAACTACAGCAGCAATTACATTAATTGTAAGTGGTTTAAATACACCAATGCTTGTGCCTCATTGGCTCTTAAGAAACCAAGACCTAACCATGTGCTACCCACAAGAAGTCCACTTTAAACATAACCACATGGCCTAATTGAAATAAAGGAATGAAAGATAAATCAGCAAGCACTGAGTTGGAGAATATCAGACAATGTAGATTTCAGAACAGGAAAACAGGAACCCTCCGTGGAAATGTGAAGGGTGTATGTATCAGTGATCTATCTGGAAGAAGCCATTTATTCCTTTCTCTGAACTCTGATATCAGCCGAAGTTGCCCAGGACTAAAAGGCAGAGAAATGAACCTTTCCTAATTTCTCCCTCAGCAATCTCACCAGAGGGAGAAGAGTGCAAAGTGGTTTTAGAAACTGCTGCCAGCCAAGGGAGATGTGCTCAGAATACAGAGAGGGAGACAGCGAGGGAGAGGGAGAGGGGGAGGGAAAGGGAGAGAGGGGGAGGAGGGAGAGGGAGAGGGAGAGGGAAAGGGAGGGAGACAGAGAGAGAGAAGAACTTAAAAATTCATAGTGTGATTCTATATGATGCTAAGACCCAGCATTTCCTTTCTTGGATATAAATATGTACAAAAAGGTGGGCTAAAATGTTGGTAGCCGTACAATTTGTAATAGCCAAAAATGAAACACCATCCAAATGTTTCACCAACACTAGAATTCAAAAAGCTGAAGGATATTTACACTGTAGAATGTTATGTAGCAATGATAAGAAGAAATCAGAATTATATGTGATATGAACAAATCCAAAAATGTAATGTTGAGCAGAAGTCAAATACAGTATATTCTCTATAATTCCATTTACTTAAGCTTCAAATGCAGCTTACACTCACCTGTGAGGTTAGGGAATTAGGGCAGTGGTTATCCTTGAGGCTGGACGGGGACTGAGAGGGATGTTGGGAAGGCTGGTCACCTGCCTTTCTCAGTCCGGTAGCTGGTTATATGTGTGTGTTCATTATGTATCAAGGGATTAAGCCCTACATTTTTATTCACTTTTCTGTACATTGTACTTCGAAAGAAAGGTTAAAAAATAGCTCAAGATGCTTGTGGCTCAGTGTTTGCACTCATGGCTAATATTTACCTTTAATAAGATGTAATTTTCTTTGAAGCAAAGCTCACATTTCTGGCCTTTACTCCTAGTATCTAGCTGTATAGAATGCCATAGTCTGTGTCACTTTGTTATGACACTGAGAAGTGGCCCACCATGTTGGTAGATGAAGCCCTCTGACCAAGCCGGGCAGTGGAATAGAGCAGAAAGAGTGGGGAACCGGGATCACATCTCCTAGGGAATCCACTGGTTACCTGCAGGACCTAAGATCCTAATATTTAACCTAATATCTCAACTAAGCTCCTGGAGCCTTGATTCTCTGGTCCACACAATGGAGATAGAACCGGCCTTGACAGGGTTATTATTAGGTTTAAATGATGTAATATCTGAGGAAGCATCTGGTATATAATAAACCCAAATACTGTAGTTTTTGTTTAACGGGATACCATTGTGTACTACTTGGCCTATGAAATAAACGTATTATTCACTTTCATGTAATATTGATATAATTATAAGAATTAAGGAATCAACTCTGCCAGTTATTTTCTTCTTTGTGGTCTCATGCTCCTTAAAATTATCCAGTGAGTATAACAACACTAGAAATCATGTTAACAACATAGGCCATATAATTCCTGGCCTAAAATCTCTTCTCTGCTCCTCTGTAGTGGATGCTTCAAGTGTGTTGCCCAAGTTCCTCCAGGCCCCACGGCTGAACCCAACTCCAGGGACCCCTTAGTCATAGGAAGATGCCTCACCCCAGGAAACATCCCCTTCCCAGCACATCTGCTTCCAGGGACTGCTCGATGCCAGGGGTAAGTGTCCCCTCTCTGGCCTCAACTCAAGAGGCCCCTAAGAGCCACCCCACTCGGGTCTCCATGGCATTGGTGGGACGTCGGTGGAGGCTGCTTCCAGTTCCCCTTCTCCTCTGCTCCTCTTGGCACCCCTCCCATGTTCCAGTTCAGTCTTTTTCCTGGCTCTTAATCTGCGCACCTTCCTCTGCTCTCCTTAGACCGGCTGGCACAAAGCCCTCTGGACAGGGGCCCTGGTGAGTTTTCTGGCATCTCTGGTTTTTTCACATCCCCTGAATGCCCAGTAGAATGAGATATTATCAGTCATCGGAGCACGCCACGGCTCTCAGGCCCAGGCTGTCTCCTTCCCTAGACCTGCTGCTCCTGCCTTAGCATTCTGGCCCCTAACCCAAAGGACTTCCACTCCAGAGTCCTTTCTGAGCTTCACCTTCTGTCACCTTCCTCTGTGCCTCCCCAAACAGCCTGTGTACACTAGGTCACTCTAAGGCTTGTGTTGTCTTGTGAATTACGGGTCTCCCACAAGTTCCTCAGCTGTGTGTAAGTGGCAGCTCTGAATGAGGATGAAATAATGGTGTCAACCTCCCAATCTGCCAGTGGGTGGCGCTTGGTTACCCAATACTGAACCTGAACAAACTGCCTTGTGTAAATTTGTCCCCTAAGGCCCATGAGATAATCTCAGAAATGCAGAGAGCTTTTCTTAATAGAGAAACGAAGATCCCACTGTATAAATGAATACAAGGACCAAAGAACCTCAAGCAGGAAGGCGGTCCTAAAGGAGGATTTCTGACTTCCAAGACACCATTTCCACTTGAGGCTGGAGTCTCCCCCTCCACTCACGTATAGATCTGCAGCGGACATGGAGGGCCAGATTTTAAAATCCCTTTTTCTTAGACTAATGAGGAGTTAATCAAAAGTAGGAGTTGGTATAACATGTGAAAGAAAAGCAGAGTGACATCCACACAAAGCATGTGACTTCTGTGTACTTAGAGTCCATGCCCTATTGCAAATTGACTGCTGGCGTTGACAAGAGAGCATCTGAGATATGACCTCAATGTTAGAAGCCAGGTGGGTAGCTTTGAGATCCCACAAACTTTTACATGAAATACCAGCAAAGTCAACCCACACCAGAAAAGTCACCCAGCCCAAGAACCATGAGTCACTAAGTTCTTGAGGGGCGGGGGGGGGGGAGAGTGCTTATTACATGGCAACAACTGACTGACACAATCCAACTCCAGGCTCAGAGAGTCCTCTTACCTGGGAGGGTAGTAGGGATCAAGAGTGTGGCCATCTCCCATGCTGAGTATACAGGACAGATTTCCAATGTAGGGAGAGAGGAGCCATGTCAAGGAGATGGTGACATTGTCAAAGGTGAAACTCCCATTTGTCACCACCAGTCGCAGGCCTGCAGATCCAAACATAAGACACCCAGTGCTCTTGCAAAGCAAAGTTGCACATTTCTGCTTTAAACCTACCCTATTCTACCACCTGACCTTTATTTTTATATGGGACATTTAAAGTTTATTTTTGGTTTTAAAAGTTCTTTAAAATTTTATTTCCATTCAAAGATAGTATGAGTGTGACATGTATAAAGGGCACAGAATGAAAAGCCAGCCTCCCCTGTATTCCTGTCCCTCAGCTCTGGTTCTCTGCCAGAGCAGCCATAGCTACCAGCCCAGGTTCACCTTCCAGAGACAGCTGCACACACAGCACACAGTCCTACTTCATTTACACACATGATGCCTGCTGAATTCACTGTTCAGCACCTTGACTTTTCTTTACTTAGCACACCTGAGATTGCTCTGTAGGACCACAGTTAGAGCTGCCTTGTTCTTTTTAATAGCTGCACAGTGTGTCCTGACTTATAAAGCCAGGATTCTATTGATTGTCCCAATGATTTTATAATGGTTAAAAAGACAAAAGGCAAAACCCCTTTAAGGAACTCTACTTGACTAAGGTGGCAGATGAATCATGTAAGCTACTTAGTGCACATTAAATTTTATAAAACCTTGAACTTCAAAACTTGGCACAGAGGATGGGCTGAGGGAAGTGACTTAGCTGTGGCTCCCCATGGCCCTGGGCTAATCCAGGCACTGCAGTCTTTCAGTGCTTGGCACTGTAATGTCAGTGGAAAGGATCTTCTGGAGCTGGTCTGAAAGCCATCAGGGCCTGATTCAGAGTTTTCTGAAGATGCTCAGGATGCAGCTAGGCCCTCTGAATATAGTCAGCAGGGCACCAGATAAAGTCCCTTCCTTCACAAATCAGAAACCGTGAGCAGAACACACTGGTTCACAAGGGAGCAGGATGTTCAAAATCAGGGTAGGGGCAGGAAATCTGGTCCACATTGTCGTCAGATCCAGCATGCCCTTGTGCTCTAAGTGACATGTTTGCCTAGCGACAGCAATGCTGCAGCTGGCAGATCTCCAACGGGCACCCTTTGTCCACCAGCAAAACCACCAAATGGAAATTGCTGCCAAAACACGTGGCCCTCTCCCCAGAAAACAGAATGGACACATCTTACTTGCTCTTAATTACCCCAGGCACATTCAGCAAACTCACCACGCTGGTAAAACCTGTCTTTACTGCCACCCTCCCTTTTCTGCACCCTGTCATCTGTGGATCCTCCCTCTTTCTTCTGTCCTAGATGTCCCCTGGCGACCCCAGCATTCCTTGGCTCATCTTTTCCCTTCAGAGGTCTTGTCCCTATTGCTTGTGTCCATAGTAGAAGCTGTTGTTCTATGTGATTTGTCAGATGGTGGCTCAGGGCGGTTTCACAGCCTTAAGGGAAGCTGGTACTTTCCCACCCTGTTTATGGGACGCAACCACTTTAGAGGGCAATGCCTGTTACCTTTAAAATGCACACACACTGTGATCCAGCACTCCCACCGGTAGGGATCTCTCCTCTAAAAATTTTTTTAAAAAATAACTAAGTTGTAGACCACTACATTTCACATGATATATTTTTATAAAAAATATAGGCAAATACATTCATACATAGCCATGTCTATGCAAACATTTTAAAAAGCAGGAAAGTTTCTATTCTAAATAATTAATAGTGTTTCCTTATGGGGAACAGGATTGTCAAATTGAAGGGAATATTTTTTTTCCTTTTTAATTTATAAAGCTTTTATTTTTTCTAAATTTCTTTAGTTGTAGATGGACACAATATCTTTATTTACTTATTTTTATGTGGTGCTGAGGATTGAACCCAGGGCCTCATGCATGCGATGCAAGTGCTCTACTACTGAGCTACAACCTCAGCCCCTAAAAAGCTTTTATAAATTGTGATATTGTGGATTGATTTTTGTGGCTTTCACAATTTGTATTTTTTTTTAATATTTATTTGTTTTTTAGTTGTAGTTGGACACAATACTTTTATTTATTTATTTTTATGTGGTGCTGAGGGTTGAACCCAGAGCCTTGCACGTGCTAGGTGAGAGCTCTGCCGCTGAGCCACAACCCCAGCCCTCAAGATTTGTACTTTTTAAAGTGAGAGATCCTCTGGTTCCTTCCAAATCAAGCAACCTGAAATTTAATGAAGGGTCCTGGGGTTAATACTTCTTTTTTTTCTGTTTAACTTCTGCAGTAGGAGCTGCAAATGCTTTACCCTAAGAAGCCAGCTTGGGGGTTGGGGGGGGGTCAAGCTACAGGGAAGCTGTTTTGGTAAGGAAGCCTCTCAGCACCCACATAGGAACTGCTGTGCTTCCTCCAGGGGGAAGCTGGACATGCTAAGGACATAAGAACCATTCCAGGGGCTGGGGATGTGACTCAAGCGGTAACGTGCTCGCCTGGCATGTGTGGGGCGCTGGATTCGATCCTCAGCACCACATAAAAATAAAATAAAGTTTTGTGTCAGCCAAACCTGAAAAATAAATATTAAAAAAAAGAACCATTCCTACACCCAAGCAAGAGGGGGACTCACCTTCCTGGCATTGGTACTGCACCCATAGGTAGCTTCCCTGAGTGGGGCACAGATCTCCAAAGTAGGTCTCATCTGCTGCTACCTGGCATGCCTGCAGCCCCTGGCACTGGCCTGAGAAGCATCCAAGTCCCAGCAGCAACAGGGGTGATGTGCAAGACACAAGGACAGACATCAGCAGAGATTGGTTACTATTCATCCATTCCTTTACCTGCCACCCACCCACCCAACAAACAACCATTGGCATCTGCCAAAGACCAGGCACTGGGTGAGGTAAGGGGACAGGAAGGTAAGATTCCTGACCATTAGCAGCTCAGGCCTGGAGCATTGGTTAAACTTCAGCATGCCTCAGATCCTCCAGAGGGCTTGTGAAGTCATGGAATTCCAAAGCCTACCCTCAGTGATTTGGATTTAGTAGGTCTGGGTGAGACCTAAGATCCTGCTTTTCTAACAAGCTCCCAGGTGATGTCAATACTGCTGGCCTACAGACCACACTTGGAGAACCACTGGCCCACCAGCACCTAGACAGATGGTCTAAAGTAGAAGCCTACAGCCTGGGAGTCAACAAGAGGGGGCAAGGTTAGGAATCCTGTGTCTATCGGGGATCCATATGCCTGCAAAAGGGAAGAGCATGGAAACCCCTCACCAGGATCATCTGACACCTCTCCCTCCTGCCCATGTATTAGAAGCCTGCAAAGCAGCCTCAGAGAGAGGGTCAGGCAGGCCCTGTGGCCCGAGAATATCCTTGGGCTCTGAATGACTGTGCCTGTACATCCAGGTTCTCCTTTGCCACTCAAAAACCTATGCTTGCTCTAGACTTTAAACTTCGAAGTACCTATGTGTTTGCTTAGCCAGGGAAGGGGAAAACCCCCACTGGATTGCCACATGCCCCCTTGGGCCTGAATTCCTCCCCTGTACTCTCTGTTTCCTGTACCTGGTTTTTACCCAGGCGTCCATCACTCCCCAGCCTACATCTCCCGTGCTACTGTCTCTGGAGAGGGTCAGGCTCCTCCTAAACCAAAGTGAGGTCTTGATCCCTGATATGGGCTAAATTGTGTTCCCCAGAAAGATATATTGAAGTCCTAACCTTTGGAATTTGTGAATGGGACCTTATTTGGAAATAGGGTCTTTACAGATGTCATTAAGTTAAGATGAGGTCATCAGGGTGAGCTCTTAATCCGATACTGGTGTCCTTGCAGGATGAGGGAAATTTGGGCAACAAGACACACAGGGAGAAAACACCATGTGGAAATGGAAGCAGAGATTGGAACAATGTATCCAAAACCCAAGAGTGGCAAGGAGTGCCCTCTATAGCTCTCAGAGGGAGCACAGCCCTGCTGGCACCTTCGTTTTGGACTTTCTGCCTCCAGAACTTGTGAGAGGATAGATTTCTGTTGTTCAAAGCCCCGCAGTATGCAGGACTCCATTTTGGCAGCCTTGGGACACTCATCAGCTCTTTCTCTCCACATCCTTGCTGCTGCTCCCCACTCTCTTGGCCTCCTTCTCTGCATTCCCACCCACCCCCCACCTCCAGACCCAGAAGGCCCAAGCCATGGTCATCCTGGTTTCCCATCAGTGGCCACCCCCATGTGTCTCTAGAATCCACACTTTTCTCCCCATGGGCCCCAGGACCACTTGCCTCTATCACCTGGGCCTCTCCATCTTCCAGCCCCCACCTGAACTCACAGCCACCTGAGGGTGTCTCTAAAACAAACTCCATGTCCCTCTTCTGCTCAGATCCTCCAGTGCTTGCCAGTGTCACTGGGATCGAGTCCAGGGTCCTTGGGCAGGTCCCCTTCTCACCTATGCTGGAACTGGCTGCACACTTTGCAGTCCCTGCACCACTGAGCCCTCTGCCTGCAGGGCTTGGCACACGCCCTCCCATTCCCCAAGCCCCCACCCGTGCTTTTCCTGGTCACCTCCTGCCTCATCACCAATAGAAAGTTGGCTGGTCATTGGACCCTTAGCCCCAAGGTACCTGCTCACCCTTGCCCCATGACCCAAGCTTGCCTAACCCTGCTCCATATTGCAGGGGCCCACATTTCTCAAAGTCCCTGGTCCACTGGTTCCCAGGTAAGCCTGGCCACGTAGGCCATGGTGGAAGAGAGCTTGTTCATTTCCAACCGCTACTAGAACATATTACTATAAACTTAGCAGCTTAAAACAACATGGATTTATTATTTCACAGTTTGGGGGTGAGAAGTTTGACTGGGCTGGGCTGGGCTCTACTTCGGGTATTACAGAGCTGAAATCAGCAGGGCCACTCTCCTTTTTGAAGACTCTGGGAAGAGTCAGATTCTGACATTATTTTTGTTGGCAGAATTCAGCTCCCAGATCCTGGAGGTTTCTCTTGCATGTGGCCGTGCACTTCCGAAGCCAGAAGCAGCACATCAGTTCTGTCTCACTGCTGGACTCTCTCTGACTTCTCCTCCCACTCTCTCTTCTGCTTCTAGCTAGAGAAAGCTCTCTGCTTTTAAGGGCTTACATGTTCAGATTATGCCCAACTGGATAATCCCGGATAATCTCCCTTGCCTAACACCAGTTGACTAGCAATTTAGTCACATCTGCAGAGCCCCTGTGCTCTGTCAGTTAACACACTCACAGGCATGGTGTCTCCCCGGGCCATAGGTCCAGGGATCAGGGTAATGTGACAACCCTTGTTTGGCTTCTCAGAAATTCCATGACTCAGGAACCAATTCCTTGCATTAAATTCCCTCTGTAGAAAGACACAGGGTAACTTTGTGGGGTTTTTTTTTTCCTTCCTTCTTTCCTATTTGTCTTTCTTTCTTTTCTTTTTTCAAGACGGGGTCTCACTATGTTCAAGACAGGTTGGCCTCAAACTTCCAGAGTCCTCCTTAGCCTCCCAAGTAGCTGAGACTACAGGTATGTGCCACTGCATCCGGCTCAAAACATTTGTAAGAATTGGTTCTTTGAGTTGTGTGGGGTGTGTGTGTAGTGTGTGTGTGTGTGTGCGTGTGTGTGTGTGTGTTACTAGGGACCAACCCCAGAGACTTAGATATGTGACACATGTGTTCTAGCGCTAATCTACAACCCTAGCTCCCTAGTGTGATTTCTGATGCAACCCGGTTAGAGACACCCCTCAATCTGAGTTAGGAACTGCATGTGTACTGGACTGCAGAGTAGCACTATGCATGAGCAAATCTGTAGTGCCTTTTGCTCCCTTCTGATGTAGCACTTATCACACTATAGTTAATCACCAACACCAACACATATGTCTCCGCCTGGACTTTGAGCTCTTTAGAAAACAGATTGATTCATCCCTGTATCCACAGAGCCCAGGATAGTGCATAGCACAATATTGGTTCTCAATAACTGTTTATTGGCCAAATGAATGGGCAAGTGACTAGGGCAGGTAGATATAGATGGATTTTGGGGGCCCTCAGGATCTCCTCTAGTGGGGTACAGGGCTCTCCTCTAGAGTGTTCCCTGGATGTAGCTGCCATGTCTCCAAAACTTGCAGGAGAGCCTTTGAGAGGACCTCCCTGTCTGTCCCGGTGTGCCTTGGTGAAGGGATCTCATGCATCAGCCTGTCCAGCTGAGGCCTTTCCTCCTTGGGGCCACAGTCAGGATTGCTGAAACAACGAGGAGAGTTGCAGAAAACCAGGAAGTGGGTCCAGCATAGCCTCTACCCATACCTGCTCCAAGGATAGTGAGGGCCATGCTATAGACCCAGGAGGTGGGAGGAGCCTGGGGCCCTACCTGCCACCTCGTCCTTGACGCTGACCCAGCTGCAATCCTTCTCCAGATCCGAAGGAGGCAGGTCTTCTTGGGTACAATAATGGGGGGTCTGGCGCCCATAGAAGGCATCCTGGATCTGGATGACCTCTCCTGAGCCGCAGTGCATGGTGGCATTGAGGCCACCACAGGCCAGGCTCTGACCAACCCCTGTGGCAAAGGGAAGGTGATGCTTTAGGGGGTTCACAGTGAGATGGAGAGCAGCTGGACAGGGCTGTGTGGTGCCAGGACAGGGGAGAAAGCAGGGAGCTGCAGAGAGGAAGCAAGACACAGAGATGCAGAGCACCCGGGATAGGGGGCATGGGAGACGAAAGGAGAAAGCCCTGGACAAACAGAGGCGGGATCAGAAAAAGACTAATAAGCTCTTAAACGGGGGACAGGGAGATGGAGCAACGGCACCAAAGAGAAAGGGGGACGGGAACACCACAGAAGTACAGGGAGAGACCGAGAAGGAGAACAGGGAGAGAGGAGAGGGGAGACCAAGAGAAGCCAGAGGCCAAGAAGGAAGGGAAGCTGAAGAAGAGGGAGGGGCAAAGCTGCACGGAGCGGCCAGGCAGAGGCCAGGAGGAGGGAGCCCCAGACAGGGCCAGCTCACCAAACTCGCAGACAAAGGCCAAGGCCTGGGTGCAGTCATCAGAGGCAGCCCACTGGGAGGAAGGGCCTCTCCCGATGTAGCCACAGGTGTCAGGGGCAGGTGTGGCCTGCCCTTGCTGCCAGTTGCTGTAGCTCACATTTGAAGTGTCCAACCAGGTCCCGGGCCCTGGGATGGGAACATGGCGGCTAGGATTGGCGAGGACCCCTCTTCTCTACGTGGAGGGCTTGCCCCAGCTCAAGTCCTGGGATGCCATAGATGCTTAGCCAACATAGGTGGGTAAAGGCTCTCGTCCCCATACTAGAAGAGGGGCATAGCCTTGCCATTAGCTTCCAACAATCAGACATAAGAACCGGGACACCAGAGTGCACAGCCCGTAGAGGGTGGTCCAACTCAATTAATGATGCTCCCCTTTCATTTTAGATCATTTCCCATGATCAGAGAGAGAGCCCAGGAGGGTGCCGTGGATGTTCTCAGGTGTTCTATGCACTAGCAGGGTTCTGGTCAGATGCATGTGGCTGAGTTAAGATGCAAGCAGTTTGAATCATTTCAGGACCCCTCAGCACCTTGAAAAGCCTGCTGCAGCCCTTGAAGAGGTAAGGTGTGTGTGTGTGTGTGTGTGTGTGTGTGTGTGTGTGTGTGTGTGTGTGAGAGAGAGCGC